TGGTAATGACTCGTGTTCGCTAAGATTTGATGTTAAGAAAATTGAATATTTCGCATTAATATAATTGGAAATCACTAGTTTCCAGCAAAATTCAAAATGCCTGTTTAAACCATCTCCCATTTCCGGCAATATTAAAGAAGGTTTGATTCTCGTTTCCACCAATTTACCTACTATATGGTTAAGATATTGCAAGACAACTAAAAATCAAGGAAAATTTACTTTTCTTTTTAATTAAATTAAATACAGGTTCTATAAAATCTTCACAGTTCGCACATAAAAAATATTAGATAACTTTAGTTTGTTGATTTAGCTATTATTATTTTTGTAGAAAATATGTAAAACAAACAGAAAAAAAATATAATGTACCTATTACCTATCATGGATAGTGAATTTTTTGTTCGATTTATTATAAGTTATTAGTTATTATTAGATTTTTTAATATAAAATATTGTAATTTGTCATACAAAACATGAAAAAATATTTCAAAATACCATTACCAATATAATTTAAATATACCATAAATATAATCATATCATTTGTTTATACAGCATTGAACATAATATATAAAATATAAATATTATAACACTAATTGTTTACACAAGTATGAAAGTAAGTACTAGAAAATGCAAAATTGCTTCTAAAAATATGAAATATAAGTATAATCATTTTACCAAAGTAGGTATTAAAGTAGGTATAAAGTAGGAGGAAGTGGGAATCAACCTTTTTTAAAATTGGTGGAAAAGGTCGATGACAGGAACGGTAATTTTAAATTGTGGTGGAAACGTTACATGCCCATATATTATTTTAATAACTTATGTAAAAGAATGTTGTTTGTGAGGACTAGAAGTAGTGATTTATTGGGGTCGTGTATAGGCATTCCTATGTTTGCTAAGAGCTAAGCATTGTGTTAGAATAACAATACGTATATATTTTTAAGTGTGTGTATGCATTGTATGTGTGTTCAAAGCATTGTTTTTCAATTTATCGGTTTGGACTGTTAGGGTCGAACATTGTCGGTGAACGAAAAATCAAACACTCCTGTGATGTTTAAACGTTCCGCTGCTCGATAAAAAGTTCGGGACTCAGGAGGCAGGAATATGTCTATCGGGAAATGTTTATTTTTTATAAGAATAAAATATTGATTTTTGATGAATTTGTTTCTTTGGAAATTTCGTTAGCTTAAACTTTTAGCCTTTAGGTATTAGACACCATTAAATTATTTATGATAGATAAAGTAATACAATATATTTGATAATAATATGTACTAGATAGGTAGTTGGTTTAAAAATATGTATATTGTGACTGTTTTAAATATTTATATATGGATCAAATTTTAATTTACTAAAAATATTCTAGCTCTAAAATTGATTAAATAATTATTAAAAACTTAAATTTTAGACCTAATAAGAGCTGAAAATAATATATCAAAGCTATATTCTGAGGTGCTTATTTAAAAATATATACAAAATAAAAGTAACATATTTATTGATAAACTATGTGTTAGATATAGTAAGCGATGAAGAAGAAGAAGAATTGTTTAGTATTTGCAAAAACAATAGGTAGGTAGATACATAGAGTAGGTGATTGAAAATACTGTCGGATTTATTGTTAGAGCTATTTTAAAGTCACTACAATGTGAAATATGTGCTAATAAACTAAAAATAAATTCATTGCTATTAGTAAAAAAAAAAAAAACAAAAAAAAACAGAGTCGATCTTACAATGGCCAGTCAAAGCATTGTAAAGCTCTGTCAAGTAGCAGAAGCTGTTGAAGGAGTAAATGGGATACAGTTTAATAACATGACTATAGACAAGTTGACAGTAAAAACTTTCTCGAAGAAATACATTTTGAACAATGTTTTGTAAATATATCTAGTCATTTTATGGACCAGAAGAAATAAAATGATCATTTACTGCAATTCATAAAACTCATTATAAACTATTTTTAAAAATACAAAATAAAATATAAAGACGAGTAAGGCAGTTGTACACAAAACTTGTACATTTCCATCAACACATAATGTAACATAATACACCTATTTTGACTAGTTTAATTTACTTCAAATTTTATACAATTTCGATTAAATATAGGTACCTATAGTACCTACTAAATAATATTTGAAACACGAACTATATATAAAAAAAATTGAATATTATTTTTGATAGTTATAAATAATTTAAAGATTCGTGATAATGTAAATATTAATATATTTTGTGATATAAACTTGTAAATGTTGTGAGGAACCTTGATAATATTAATCCAAAGAGGCTTGCACCCTCATTAACCTCTTTGGTATTTCCTTCCTAGCTTTGTATCTCTCACACATTGATTTAACTACGTCCTATCTATCTTTGTACTCGTGGTTCATAATTATTAGGGCAATGAATTAAATTTATCTACATATAGGTAAATGTAAATTAGGTATAAGGTTTACATAAATATTACCTATTATTTTGTATTATTTAATACTTAATATCATGATAATCAAAACTTTAATTGATCACGATTAATGCTTATGAATAGTTAAAAACAAATTTAGATTGGTTAGGTTAATTAAATGAGAAAAATCAGTTTTAATCAACTTAAAAGCACAACCAGGCAAAGAACTAATAACCCAATGCAGCATTGTAATAAATTAATGAATATAGGTACACTGTTTTTTTTTTTTTTTTTAGTCGCCTATTCGATTCTCAGCCACAGGGCGGCATTTTTCTTCTGGCAAGTCATAGTGTCCGGAAAACAAGTGCCACCATCCGCCACCCAGGGCATGGCAGAAACCTACGGGTGCCCCACTAGATATTCTGCCACAACACACACACATGTACCAAACCTATCCAATACAAAAACCCACAGTTCTACCCCCACCCAATGGCCTATATTGCCGAGGGGTATCTAATAAAAAAAATATATCATAATGTAGAATAGGAATAATGGTGAAACATAGTTTTTGAATTATTATTATTACTCCATAATATATTCAATTTAATCGTCTTAAAAATATCCAGCTTAAAAAACAAGAATCTGGGACATTAACCTTAATTTTGCGATTAGTAGTGTCATCTATAATTAATTAAAATTGTTATTAGTCGGGTCTTATTAATGAACTTATTTAGGTATAATATAATATTACAACTTAAAATATAATAATTCAAATGAAATAATTATTTCTCATAGCTAATATTTGTACAATGGTACAGATATTGCTAAGTGTATTTGGTAGCAAAATTGTACCTTCAAATGATAAATCACGGTGTGGCGAATGCGTACCAATACTCATATTATGATAGTATACTTGTCACACAAACACAATGCGTATTGCATGTTCAATAACAAAATACCAGCTATACTCAACCCCAATGAATCACAGCTTCCAATACACACGAACAACATACTTTCAAGGAAAATAATAATATTCAAAATAATTGTAATTAAAAATAATAATTAAAGTAAATAATAAACTTCTCTAACTTTAAATCTTAGTGTAGAATATATTTGTAATTTATATCACTATTATAATTTATAGTCTTATATTATACTATTGTTAGTATGAATTTATCTGGCTATTATAATGCAGTTACCTACCTATATAGAGTATGTAGGATAACAAAATCAAACTTTAGTTTCCGAAGAATGGCTAATGGTATAATATATAATACACAATTTAATGATCTCTCTCGTGTTATGCAAATCTTGGGCCTAGGCATATCTGTATAAAATATTTTTAAGTAATGTAAACGTATAAATCATTGGAGATTAATAATAAGCGGGTTTTAGCTGTATAGTTTAACATGTATTATTATAGTAGGTCTATGCATTTTCAAAAATACACATTAAAATAGAGAAATATGCACTTTAAAATAATTAAAAAATGTATTAATTCACTATAAGTTATGTCAACTAGTTAAACAGTTAAATAAAAAAAAAAAAAGTTTATAAATAATTGTGTATTATGAAAAATAGATTTGAATTAATTCATAAAAAATTAACTTTTTACATTCAATTATCATATTCATAAACCATACTTATGTACATTTTTTTACAAAATTGCAGTAAAATCAACAACAAAAACTAGTTAATATATGCATTAATGTTTCAGTTAATATTAAAATTAAAATTTTATATTATGAGTTTTTATGACTTAAATCAAATACCTATGTAACACTTCTATTGAATTTAAAACGAAATCCATCAAAATATTTAAAAATTATTAAATGTACGATATTTCATAAACCTCGTTACTATACCTAAAAATATATAATAACACTATTAATAAAGTTGATTATATAATATGGGTACATATTGTACAGTATACTCTATATTATATAACAACATTATATGATACTTTAAGGTGATGTTATTTAAAAATGTGACAACTGTCAACTGTCTTGGGAATTCATATTTCATCCAGAAAAAGAAATCCTTTACACTACTAGTAGGGTGACTATAATATTTTCATCTCTCAATGATTCGAATAAATTATTAAAAAAAAACTATTAAGCAATTCAGGAATAAAACCAATGACTCACGTAATATTGCTATAATATCTATGATTATAAACATTATAATTAGATAATGAGAGATGAATGTGAACATATAGATTTGATTTAACTTTAACATACGTCTTAGACTCGTTATTCTATTTGTTATAAAAAAAATATCCATTTACAGATATAGATAACTATGAATCATTGAATAACTTGCGTCATTATAAAATTACCACCAAAGAATTTTTATAATACTCGAGGTATAAATAGGATGTCTGTTGGCAGAGTATGGGAAGAATTTTCAGAATCAGAACGAGCACCTTCACGTCATCCGTTTCCGGTTTTTTTTAGCAGCAATACAGAAATATTTCGACTATTTTCAAATATTATTGTTATGGCTTAATTTGTATTTGACTTATTGCAATACCAATAGCAACTATACTTCCTATACAACGGTTGTTCGTAAATATGGGCACGTAACAACATTATAACATATATACATAACAGATTGTATTGTCATACACGACAGTATCGTATACAAGTTCCTATAGAAGATAATATACAACTTACCACGAGATCCAATCCGGTGCAGTCTGTAGTGGCGGTGGTTCGGCCTGACGGCAGCACAATGGACGTTGGCAACAGCGTTTCCTGGCACGTGTCGTTGCCGTTGCACGTCCTCTCGGACCGGTATCCACCGACCCTGCCCCTGCGTCCCTGGCCCACGTCTGCCCCAGTCGCACCGTACCCGGAACCGTTGCGCCAACAAGGCAACACCTGTTTGAACTCTTTCCGGAAGTTCTCGTTCAGCCACGCGTATAGGAACGGGTTGTAGCACGTGGAGCTCATAGCCACGGCATGGGCAGAGAAGAAGAACAGGTAGTAGTGTGTCCACATGGCAGTCTGCAGATAGAAATCGTTCAACAGGTTAATGGCGGTCAGTGGAAGCCAAGACACGCCAAATATTGTCACCATGGCTATCAACATCCTGTGAAAAAATCAAAAAAAATCCATCAAAACCAATGGCGATTTTAACGGAATACATATGGAAATTTGTGTATACTGGGCCGTTCACAACCATTTAATATGGTTTAGCAGAGAGGGTTAATCATTCGGTCTAATAATTTTAGGAATGATGATGTGTCATGTGCCATAATATTATGTGCATCGGCTGTGGTAATATCTAGTAAGTAATGACTACATCTCAAACCCGTACTCGCATATTGATAATCTATACGCATATGTATTTATTAAATGTATATTATAATACATAATATATCGATAGATAGAAAATAAATTAAAAATAACAGATAATTCAACAAGAACAGAAAGAAAGGAAACGCTTTAAAACCATGTAGTATTTATGCATTTTTGTATTCACCTTTGCATTTTGTTTTCTATTACCTATATTATGCATAATTATATTTTATTTTGGTCAAAATAAATTTCTTTAGATACTTATGGACATATTTATTTATTATTTAATTTTTAATTAATTGTCATATAATTTAACTCAAAGTAATTATTGAAAAACGAAAATGTTTCCCTATACCAGAGTTCTTTTTTCGAGAATTTTTAAATTGGGGGGCAGATACTAGTTGTGACTGAAAAATTAATAGTTAGTTTGAGCGACGATAATTTATACCGTTTGACGAACTTTGATGTGAATATGTTTAAAAATAGGGTTCATTATTAATTATTTCCATTATGTATATCGCAGGCATATCATTTTGTTTTAGTAATTGGAAAATTTGTATTAGGTAATGATAACATTGACTGTATAACTATATTAAAATATTACTATACCATTATCTTTTAAAATTTAAGAGTTCATATTAATTATGTATTATGTATTTTATATATAACTTAATTTTTTCAATATATGCATTAATTGACCTATTAACCTATTCCTGTATCTAATTATTAGCCCAAGGTTTTTTTGTGGAATAAAATATATTCAGCCAATCGGTATAATATAGCTATTCGACCAAACAGTCTACTCCCCTTTGTAATGGCTGCGGACTAGGTTTTTTTCACTTAAAGCAATCTGCACCTCACTAGAATTTATCCCATTAGTACCATGGATTTGTTAGATGGATTTATAATATTATATACAACTATCATTCAGAATACCTATAGCGGAAAGGTCCTCTGCTCATTTTATTTTAGGAAGATTTGCTATTTTAGGATGTATACGGCCGTACATCATTTGAGCATCACTATAATTGTTTATTTCAACTTTTTTCGCTATACAATTTTCAAATATTTTATTGGTATTTCTATTTTAAAACATAATATATCATAATATTATCATGACACGGTTACTCAAGTAAGCGAGACATGAGTGATTATTAACCATGGCCATTTCTCAGAGTTCAATCGTAGTGTATGATAATTATATGCCAAAATTGGCTTGAATAAGCCAATGTATATACCTATACTTATTGTATGTGAAGTATAAGGATTAACAATACATTATTGAATGTTCAAGTTCAACTGAAATTTAGAATTCAAACTAAAAAGTCCTTTTAATTAAGGGATATAGAACTTAGATTATGTACTTTTCAATATTTGTTATACCCTTCTATTGTTCAATATGCTGATGTGCAAACAAATAAGGATGTACGATATTTTGGCCCAGGTAAACAGACGATGCTCAAACGATGACCTGCGATGTATACATATGAAATAGGTCCCATTGGTTAGGGTCGGGTTAGGTTGATCGGCCGGTATATTATATTTATACTAGACGTGGTTTTTTTTCCGGTTACGATTACAATATAAATTAACATAATATAATAAACACACATATTATATACATACATACTTATACAATATATATGCTTTGTGCATGGCCGCGTGTATAATACTATTATGTAAGCAAATATTAATAGAGGGTTGTCCCTTTCCGAGTACGGTCTCGTGTCCGACACTCGCTGACCGTAAAATTGTTCACACGTCTCGACGACGTGGACGACGATAACTTCTAGACAAATCCAACAAATACACACGCATTATAATAAATTACAATAAAACCATACAAAATGTAACTCTTGGTTTCAGAGAAATCGCAACACCATTTTGATAAGTTCAACTGCGTAAGTATATAATATAATAGAACATAATTCAAATTTCCAATAATCGATTTAATCGTTCATAATATATTGTTGTAGCACAGTGAACCCTCCCCCTTCTTAGAGTAGAGTACATATTAAACAAATAGACGAAGTTTTTTTCGGCAACATACCAATATAACTTTCTCAAACGGAACTCCCTGAATAGCAGAAACTTCCGAATTGTGGACAATATTTTAATGACTAAAAATGTCCGGGAATTAGAGGTTACATTATATATATATATGCTTCATTTTAAAACCGTATATCAACTCACGATGTACATGAGTAATACTATTGCAGAACTTTGATAGTATCTTAAAATCGCAGTTCTTATCTTGGGTTTCTGGAAATTATTCAAGCAAATTGTATTAAATTAATTTTCTTTTATTTAAATAATATTTCCAAAAATAATACATGCTTTTAAAAGAATACGATATTACACTAAAGTTTTTTACTATACTTATATACTTAAACATATAATCCAAATACTAATCGATATTACTCAAAAACGACAAAAAGTATAAACTTGAAATTTGGAAAAGTGGTTCCTCTGATGTATTGTAATAAGAAATAATTTTTAAAAAATCGCTTTTCGAAGATGGACTCACACAAGAATTTGGTTTTGAACAAGTATTGAGTACAAACAAATATAAATATATGGTACATATATATTTGTTACAGAAAAAAAATAGTAATAAAATTATGATTCGATATTATTTTACACCTGTATTTCATATTTGACTAAAAGAACCCAATTAACTGAGTTAAGAGGACTTCGTGCAAACGTTACAACATACCAATTTTATTTCACCAGTTTCAATAGTGTGCTGTTACTTGTAATATTAAAGTGAATATTTATTGACCTATTATAAAATGTATAGTTAAGATTATTATCTAGGAGTCCGCATAGGCTTTTATTGATATTATATATTATTTTGAAGTAAGTTATGACTTTTTTGAAACTGTACCAACAACTACCCCAACTGACATTACATGAAACGTAACCTCCATAAATGTTCACATAAAAATATAAATAAATCATACAAACAAAATCAATTATTTATTTACTCAAATATTTAATTATTCCTTATTTTTTAATATTTATATTATAATTTTCAAACATTAACAATACTATTTTTTGCTTAATAGGTACCTTTATATTATATAATATATCCCCGAAATAAAATATTACGTTATGTAAATAATAATAATTATTATTAGAAGTAGATTTTACAAGTTTACATATAGGTACCTAACCTAACCTAACCTAAATTATATAAGTGTAATAGATATATTTGTAATTAAATATTAATAATGTAATAATTACACTAATTAAGTTTTCAAAATGAAATGTGGTTGTCAGTAATATTGTAGTCTGGGGGTTATTTTTCCTAGGATCCGGGATTCTTTCAGGGGATTTTTATTCCGCTATTACCTATCTATGTTTCATAGTTCAGTGCATATGTATACTGTAAAATTATATATAATAATCTTACCAAAACGGAGTGCTAGGTCAGCTATAGTTTAATATAATGTTGATAGGTAGGATAATATATATAATTTTATTCAAAAAGATATTGAAAAAATTAATAACTTTTTAATGAACCCCACTTTGGGTTGAATTAATATATATTTTTTATAATAATAGTTAAGTGTAATTCTATGACCAATTTTATTATTATGTTAAAAATTTTTTTTTTTTAAATATACGTTTTTTTATTCAATCTGTTACAAAGAAGAATAATAAGAACAATATTGATGGGTTAAAATGTTAAAATAAGAAAAATAAAAATAAAAAGGCAGATTGAATGGAATGTAGAGGCCTCCCAGCGGAGGTACTACGACATGAGTAAAATGTTAAATAATTTAAATTTATTTATTTTCTACCGTCGTAGTCGTATCGTGTTTAATATTATTATTCAGTTTAAAATGTGAACAAATTGACATATTTTAACGTATTTTAACTTTTTCATTTTAAGGAGAGTTTTTTTTTTATTTTATAAATATAATAAATTTGTTATCAATATATTTACATAGCCAGCAATAGTAGTCTATTATATTATTCTAGTGCGCCGAATGTGGCGAGTTTTCATTTACGGGTAGTGATGTGCCTTGGGAATATTCCCAAAAGAAAGAAATATATAATTGGGAATTTATCGGGAATATTTCCACAACATATATTTCTTCCCTAACTTGGGAATTTTTTTTTCTGTTTTATTGGTCCACACTTTTAGAGGTTCACTAGATGACATAATTCATATCAATGGTTTAAGATAGAATCTATCTTAAACCGTGATAACTATTAAACCCGCGTGTGATGAACGTGCATCTATGGTAGGTATGGTATGGTATGGTATGGTTAGGGCCAGTTGTACAGTCTATGATTAAGCTTAATCATAGTTTAATTATAGACGGTACAACTGGCCCTAAATATCTGTTATCAGCTGATTAAGCTTAATCATAGTTTAATCATAGACGGTGCAACTGGCCCTTAGTAAGTTAGTTTATATAGTATAGTGTATTTTCTTCAAAACATAGCAACTTTTGTGTAGAAGATACTAGAAAGGTAAAAGACATATTTTTCAATTTTAATTGAAAAAAGTAGGTACTATCATGATATTAATCATAATAATATAAGGACAATTATATTTTATTTATTTTTAATTCAAAATCTAAGGTCATTAGCAGGCCACAATTATACTTGGGCAGTGTTTGGATTGGGAATAATTTAATTTTGACTTGCCTATTAGAATTTTAAAATTTATATTAAAAATTCCCATTATTTGGGAATTTATTAAATATTCCGGAAATATTCTCGGGGAATATTTCCTCACTTTTTATTACCGGGATATTTTAATT